ATGAGTCGCTCCTTGCACACCCCGTTGTAAGCTCCCTTGACGTCGAAGGTCACGAGGCTGAGGATTCGTCGACCCCGCCACGCTGCGTAGATCTGTTCTTGCAACAGCATCAGCGCTTGCTCGGCAGATCGCCGTTTGCGGGCCCCAAAATGGTTGGTGGGCAACAGTCCATAGGTCTCGACAGCATGTGAGATCCTTTCTGCGATGACCGACTCTAGGATCTTTCCCAGGGTGGACAAAAGCGAAATGGGCCTCCAAGCCGTCGCGACCGAGAAGTCGGCCTTGTCTGCCTTCTTGAGTGGAACAATCTTCGCGTGCCGCCACTGTTCGGGCAGTTCGCCAGCTTCAAGCGACGCCCTGAACAGGGATATAATTCGTAGTTTGACCACTGGCCAAACTTGTTTCCAAACCATGACGGGAAGTCCGTCGTCACCGGGCGCCTTCCACGACTTGGCGGCAAAGAGCTGCCGCTCGATCTCTTCCAGCGTAATGTCCGGCATAATGACGGCGGCGCCCCGCTGAGGGCGCGGGCCCTCCTCCTCGGACTTCCGGTAGGGGAGGAAAGAAGGCCGACAGCATTTCCTCGGCCTGTTCCTTAGTGCTAGCCGTTCGCGTGCCATCAGCTCTTACGAGTTGTGGCACCTTGCCAAACGCGGAGTTGTCTCCCGACTTCAGGTACTTTGCCGCATTCCAGATATTGTCGTTATCAGCGAGAAAGTCGTTCCAGTGTGTCTTCTTCTGCTGTCTAATAGCATCATGATACTGCTTGGCCGCCCCCTTGGCAGTGGCCTCGAGTTCGGGGCACGGCTGTCCTGCTCGTCTTGATGCCCTGGCGCGATTCCGCCAGAACGTGTGGATACGCCGAAGTTGGGTGAGGTCCGTCGTCCACCACCGCTTTGCGGACTTCGATGGCTTGGCTCTAGGTGTCAGGGCGTGCACCGTATCCAGCACTGACGACATAAGCCTGTCTGTCTGTTGCTGAACTGTGCCCTCCGTTGGTGTGGCTTCCAGCGAGGCTGCAATTCGAGCATTGATCTCCTTCCATGGTGCGTTTTTGAATAGGAGCCGTTCCCGAGTCGGTGGTGCCGGGACTGAGATGTCGAAGATCGCCTCGATAGCCCGGTGGTCCGACCCATGTTCCGTACCGAGCGGGGTGCATTTCACCACCGCGCTCGCCAACTCCTCCGAGGCCAATACCAGGTCGATCGTTGACTCGTGGTCTCCGCGTTGCCAAGTCTTGGTGCCCCGCTGGAGAAGGCTGCTGAAAGCGAATTCGTTCATAAGGTCAATGATCTCGTCTGCTTCACCCTGTCTTTCCAGCCTCACATCATCCCCTCCCCAGAGGTGGTCGTGGCGATTGAAGTCGCCTGCAATCACCACATCCACGACTGTGCCAGCGTCTCGCCTCGTGTCGTTGATGACTCTCCGCAAGGTGTCGCACGTCGTCGTGAGCGCCTGATCATTTCGTCCCTCCACATAGACTGAGAACACTAACACCTGGCGCTCTGGCAGACGTACGAGCGCCGCGGTCATGTCCGGGGACTCGATGGTCACCTGGTCTGCTTCTAAGTCGTTCCTGATCCAGAGCATGCTTCGGATCGCCCACCTCCCTTCCAAATACGTAGAGGGCACCATCTTCGTCCACTTGTGGTGCGCCATGGGGGTTGTCAGAAGATGTCCCTTAACCAGATGTGCTTGGGGCTCCTGGATGGCCAGAACCGCTACGTCCTCAATATCATTGTCGTTCATCAGACTCTCATGCACCTCGGCGGTTTTCGCCACGTTGTACTGGATCACCCGAAGCGTGCTACTCATGCGTGGAAGGGTAGAGCTTGCTGCAGTTCCTGCTGTACGATTCGTGAGGCCCACCGCAGAGCGCACACTTATACGTGGTTTCGTTGCAGGTCTTGTGGTGGTGCCCCTCGGTGGCACACTTGGCGCAGACTTGGGGCTTGCTGCAATTTCTGGCTATGTGACCGATCTGCTGGCAGTGAAAGCACTGCACTGGACGATAACGGCGTTCCCATGCTTTAACTGTGCCGGATTCTCCCTCCACATGAAAGTACTGCTCTCCTAGAAGTCGTTTCACATCTGAATCCTTGGTGAGGTACACGACCATGGAGCCGTATGCCTTCGGCGGATCGCTATTGCTAAGCCACCCGATCTTCTCGATCTGGACGTCGTTTTCTTTGCCTAAGGCCTCGGCAGCACCCGTGAGAACGGCACCCATCTCGTCGAGGATTGCAGCCCGGTTGACATGATCCACGCGGACGGGGTGAACCTCGTCCCGCAACATCCGCGCACCTCGCGGCAGGTTCGCGCCGACGAGACGTTTCACCAACTGGTGCTCGGCTTCGTCCCTACAGACAATCCTAAAGCGCATTCGGTTGCGTGCATCGGTGGTCACCGCACGGCATCGCCAATTGGCATGATCCCGTTCAGCCCGGACCTCGCCCTCGACGAGGGTGCGAACCGCACCAGCAGTAATGCGATTCTCTTGTCCATCTTCGACCATGGACGTGTCAATCGTGCAGTGGAACGTTTTTGTCGCGGTCGTCCGTGCCGTATTGGCGGACGAGAGAACTTGGGCGTAAGTGGGCTGTGGTGATGGCGACGAACTTGTGACGTCAGTGAAGGAACTCTGCGGGGTAGAGACTGTGGTCGCCGTGATAGCTTCAAGTTGCTCATGAACGCGCTTCAGCTCGTCGCCTGTCTGTTTCTGGTTGTCTTTTAGTTGTTGGCTCAAATCACGGATCAAATTGTGCTGCTCTTCGGCTGCATCCTTCAACTCTCGGATCGCTCCTTGCTGAGTGCGGATAATCTCGTTCTGGTCCTTAATTGCTTCCCTTAGCTCTTGAACCACGGTGCGGTACGCGCCCAGCAACTCCAAGGCCGACTGCAGCGTCGTCGTTTCCTCGCGATTGCTGCTGTTTCTCTCATCGGCCATGGACGCGTGATTGACTTCCGCGGCCGCTGCTCGCGTTGTCGCTCTCGTGCCGTACCGACTGGTTTTATTTGGCTCTTTCGCGTTGTCATCCAGCTTCCGTTTCATGGCTCGACGCCCCGCTGGCGTCACCGACCCGCGGCGCGACCCCACCAAAGGCCCCGCACGAGCTGGCGAGCTCATCATGGGAGTAGGCCAACCACACAATTCCAGTTGAGAAATAATAAAGATTCAATGAGTACTGCAAGGGTTCTCATTATAGTGGGCTCCGTTTTAAGTGTCACTTTTCCCAATCAATAAAAATTTATAACTACTCTCTCCCCTGGTGACAAACCTCGAGATCGAGTCATCGTCTACATCAATGGGAAAAAAGTCGGTGTTATTGACTGCACATACAAGTCTCCCGCGACTGTCCGACTCGATGTGAAGAAGGGGGACGTGCTACAGTTGCTTGTGGAAAATCTAGGTCGAGTCGACTTTTCGCTAGCCCTGAAGGACCAGGTAAAGGGTATTGTTGGCGATGTCAAGATTGGCAATGAGATCCTGAAGGGTTGGGCCACATACTCGTTACCCATTTCCCAGCTGCCGTCCTTGTTGAACAAAACGGTCAGCGCCGCGGACACGCCTGTGTTCTACACCGGCTCGTTCATTCTTCCCGATGGTACCGAGACCGATCAGAGCGGTGACATCCTCCTTACCTTCCCCAAGGGTATCAAGGGACAGGTCTGGGTGAACGGGATCAACATGGGGCGATACTGGACCATTGGGCCTCAGCAGAGCCTCTACATTCCCGGCTGTTACGTCAAGGATCATGCGATGTCCAACGATGTCGTTGTTTTGGAGCTGGAGCCCAAGGCCGGCACCGAACTCACAGGCAAGGGCGTTGCAACAAGGGAGTGGTTCAACAGTCCCGACCCTGATGCTCCATGATTACAAATGTGGGTGGGCTAGGAACCTTTTGGGTTCCAGCATTCTCAAAGCAAATCTTAAATCAGGGAACCATACTTGTCGCGCATTTGGGCAGTCTCAATGCTCTCGTGAGGCATTGGGCTCGTCTGTCCTCTGTGTTGATGTCGCCGCAACAGCACCTGGGTGCCCCCGGTCAAGCGAAGGAACAACCATGTAAGAGGCGTGTTTAGTGCTGTGCTCGTGCTCTTTCTTCCCCGTGGAGATGAATATTCGATCGCACTCGGTGCACCTATAGTGCTCTGATTTGTGATGTCTTTTCAGCCTGTCACATTGGAGAGTCGACCCGCACCTCAGCTCGCACTCTACCTTCTCACAATAACGAGCCATTCTCTTGGTCCATGCGTGAACCTCTTCACCGGTGTGGCCTGTAGTGTTGCGGTGCTTAAGCCACTCCACTTCGAAGCAGACAACCCGTCGCGGTGGTTCCCGCCCTGTTGCACCCAGCCGAGCCGCGTCACCATACTGACGAAGAGCCGTAAGGCCCTAGCCAAGGAGAACGCTATGTGATATTGGGTATGCCAACGATGCGGCCACGTCGCAACAGAAGTGCCGACGAGGTGCTAAGGGTTAATGGTTCTTGCCTGGAGCTGGTGGCACCGGCGACCAAGCCAAACCAACATACAAGAGGCATTGCTCTCTGGCGGTCCGCGACCCCTTCAACAATCTCTGGCCTCTCCTATGTCTCGGCCACCAAAGACGCTTTCCTGCCACCTCTCGCCGGTAATTGCCGGCAATGCGACCACTCTCGGCAACGCGTAGTCGGCCCGCCTGTCCCCGGCAAAACGCGTCAGCCGGGTCGGCTTCAACCGCTACGGGCCGCGAGGATACTGTCCTGGAAGCTGAACAGAATATCACGCCGCCGAAATCACCACCGAGCAGGTACCCTGCCCGATTGAGTGTGGCCTTTTCCGTTCCGTCCAACTACCACGCCGATACTAATTTCCTCTGGCAGGCGAGAACGTGAACCAGACGTTCCTGTGTGTTGTCTGTTTCCGGCCTGCTCTGCAAAGCCATTCGATCAACACATGGATCTGGACCGACACTACAAGAAATTCCATGTCGCTAAGACATTCTATTGTGACTATGTCCAATGCAGACGCAGAGTGGACCCATTCAACCGACTTTCTCACCTTCGCCGTTATTTGATGGCAGTCCACCAGGAAGATGTCGGTAACTCGACAAATGAAAAGCGGCCTGCAAGGTAGTGGAGCATGGGTGCGGTGCAACAACTGCCTGTACAGAATTGACGACGATCGCCAAAATTGCCCCAGTGTGAGTTGGGCGCGGGGGTACGGGGCGATGATGGAGCGGACGAGTGGTTGTCTGCTTGGAGATGAACAACCTGCATTTCCTCGCCCCGAATACCAATAGCATTCAGTTGCGATTTCTTGAATACGGTCCTAGATATCGTTGCGAGGCGCTAGGAAGGCGTCCCTGAAAGAGGGCTCACGTTACTTATGCCGATCTAGTGGGGAACAGGATTGCACTACTGCTAGCCGGTGTCTCGTTCACGAAATTGTCTGCGAAGCTTTCATTGAGCGCCTTCCAGCTGGTGCCAAGTGCTAGTTGCAGGCGGTAGGATGCGTTGGGAAAGTTCAAGAGGTGGGCGGTCATTGATTAATATCCCCAAGCGGCTATTGCGAAGGCGGAACTCGTCTCCAAGTCCGCCTCGTTACGTTCCCTTAAAAGCCACGGTTCCACTTAAAGTCCACTGTCGATCTGCATTGGGATATTGGTGTTCGTCCACGTCCCCCACTGGCGGCACGTCTCCGCCACGACGCTCGGTGGGCGCATCTTCTTGAGCGCATCCGCCCCCGTCACGAACTGCGTGAAGAAGCCTGCCGAGACGTGCCACGCAATGTGGCAATGAAACGGCCAGACACCTAGTTATCATCACGACGGGTTAGCATGGCCCTGGCTCAGAGAGCAAAGCGATATGGGGCTCGCGTACCGGGATTCTGGCTGGCGTCAAACTGCATCACGAGGTGCCCGTTTGGCCGCAGCTGTATGACGTCCCGCCGCTGCGGATTCTCAGGGTGAATGATTGTGCCATCCCAGTCGGGGCCACTGCCCTCATGTAGGATGTACATGTTGAAACCATGTAAGTGCATCGGATGCCTGTCATCGTACAGTCAGCCTAGACTGCAAAGGCGGTAGAAGAAGAGTTTGGCATAGACGCACGCAGCCCCGGATAGGTTCTTGACGTGCACCCGGACGCTCCTCGCGTTCTTGGTGTTGCGCACGTTCCACTTCTTCTCAAAAGTATAGTTGCCGAGGTGGCTCATCAGCAGCGTCGGGCTGTTATAGTTGCCCCGAAAGTCAACGCGGTCAAACGACCACAGAGGGTGCCCCGTCTCGTTGCGGAAGAACTTGGCCTCCATGACGTACGTCAGGTCCGGCTCTGGGACGCGGAGCTGCATCGTCGGGCGCGTTAGCTCCAGGTCGTCGTTGGCGCAAGTTCCCGGGTCCGGCACGTCCCATGGCGTCGACTCGGGAGCCTTATTCACGTCCGCCTCGTCGTAGTACACGGCCGCGAGCGCGTTCGGCTGGTTCGTCAGGCTACACTTTGTGGAAATGTTGGCGCGCATCCAATAGGCACCGTCCCTGGGGCCGTCGGCCTTGACGAACGCGTCGACGCGCTGCCCGACGCCCAGCGTCACCACGTTTGTGGTGTATGGCTTCACGGTGACAAAGTCGTTGGCGATGACGGTCATGTTGTGCCCGTCGATGGAGAAGCGCTGCAGTGCCTCGGGCCCGGTGTTGATCAGCCTCAGACGGTGCGTCTTGCCACTCTGGAAGCGGAACTTGGCGACACCTGCGTTGTTGACGCACGGCGTTTTATCGCCAGCGGCAACGGTGGAGCAGTCGAAGGCGTTCTTTCCGTTTATGAGGTTATTCGACGAGAATACTATGCCATTCCCATTAGGTTGCATGATCTCCTCGACTAGGTCATTGTAATTCTTGTGAAACCAATCTGTGAGCATGACAGGGCCGATGTCGATATCGTACTTCTTTTCCGTTGGCCCGTGGATTACTATGGGGCCGAATAAACCCCCAGCGCTTTGCGCAGAATAATGCGAGTGATACCAGGCGGTCCCGTATAGCTCGGCCTCGAAAGAGTAAGTGAAAGACTTCCCCGGAGGAATGGGGCACTGTGTCACAGCGGGCACACCATCCTGCCACGGCTTGTCCGTTTGAAGAAACCCGTGCCAGTGCAGTGCGGTGCCTTCGTCAGGAGTAGAGATATTGTTGCGCACGGTGACTTGTATGGTATCGCCCCAGTTAGCCTCCATCAGAGGTGCCGGGAAAGCTCCGTTTACAAGCAAGGCATCCACCTGGTATCCATCAGGGGCGATAGTGTTGCGGCTGACCGTAAAGTCGTACCGCCTTATAACTCCAGTCCTTGGGTGGTCATTGTAGTAATTGGTATCAAGATTCATTAGGCTCCAAGGGTAGCCGTTAGGTAGTGGATTGTCAGTCTGGAATGCCGCGAGGGACGGAGTGTCGAGCGTTCCCAACACAGACTTGCTTCTCGCTGTGAGTACAGCGTGCATGTACCCTAAGGGGGGAAAGGGACCACATGTCTTACCCATTGGTTGAGCTTTGTGGGAGGTTGTTTGTCACGCTCAAGGGCTGATAGGTGTTCGCTGCGACATCACGCCGCAGAAGACTGCTTGCAACCCCCATAGTGAAGGCAGCAGTCACAAGGGAACTTCAGATACCTTCCGATTGCGTTTCTGCTTCGAACCGAATGCCAAAGCACAGATAAACTTACACGGACATTCCACCGGCTGTTCTGCGACTATATAGCCCCCGGTCCGCATGACGGCGGAGATGACCTCTCACGTCAGGCCCTTCGCCGAGCCCGCCCATGGTTCTTGGAGATCAGCCCAGACACGAGCGACCCTATGCTCCCACTGCTGCGCCTTTTTAACGTGTGCCAAGACTGCTTCCGGGCTGTCCACTGCCATACAAACACGAAATAATTCAGCCGCTCGGGCTCGTGTTGAATGCACGAGCCAGGATCATGATTCGTGAGATGCCATACCAACCAACGACCGGCAATTGATCAGCGAGTCAGGGCAAGCCGCGACCCGTGCCTACAGCGTTGGTGGTCTAATAATTAATATACGGTGTAGTTCCGCAGACGACTTCGTTCCGTCCACGCCCCTGGCCCGGTGTAAGGCGCATAAATACGGCGAAACAGAGAGTGAAGAACGGGAGGCGATCGGATGTCATTATTGATCTCTGGCCCTCTTCCTTCTCAGCAGAAAGAGGGACCCCTTTTCATTATGTAGTAGTAGTGTATTTTTCGTCCAGCGACCTTCAGGTCGCTCAGGTCCCCGAGACGGGGCACAGGACGTGCTGAGCTAGACTACCTGGAATTTCCACCACAGAATACCTCGCCCTGATGCAACCTGCAGGGCCTCGCAAAGGCGAGCTGTCAGGCTCGATCCCCGGAGGCTGCTCTCCTACGCCCGACGGTAGGTGTCGCTGAGCACGCCGGTACAAGTGCCCAGGGTCCAGATCCCACGACCAGTCCTCCCACATGTCCATCCAGCATGTCATCGGCTCGAAGGCGCTGCGTATCGAAGCCCCCATTCCGTCAGCGGAAACATGAGGCGGTATGGTCAACCCTTGGTTTTCACCGGTCAGAATTCTCTCGCTCATTCAGCCAACGCTGCTGCCGCAGTCCCATGCTCCAGTAGCCAAGCAAGGGAAATGGCCGAGGAGCGGCGGCAGGGAAAAACCCTCGGAAGGAATCAGAGGCTGTCGCGCAGCTTGCCTTCAGGGAGAAAAACCTCCGCAACCGGTCACCGTGATTGAAGGGCGAACCCTCCAATTGCCCAATAGCTCCTTGGTTCCGAAGGAATGCTATGGGCCAAAGTGCAATTGTCGAGACCGGCTTCGCAGAGGAATATGAACTCTCCTAAGGTCTTCCTCTGTGCTGTTAGGGCCGCGATGGCCTTGGCAGCGAAAGCGCGGTCGGGTGGCCTGCAAATCTGGCCCCAGCTATCAAGCTGCTAACAGCCTCCAGGGGTGCAGAATTTTTACAGGGGAGAGTTGGGACCCCTTTTCTATACAGCGGTCCCAGGTGTTCCGGGTAAGCTTTTATCCAACACGACTTATTTGGTACATCAGTCTCTCGGCCTTTCCCCAAGTCTTCCGGATACTCGGATAAGCCTCTATCCAACACGACTCAGGTTCATGGGCGCGTGACACCCGGCCACGGCTGTGCGGCAGTCATCGCCAGAAGCAAAGCCTGCAACAGAGCAACGGCGCGGAAATGGTCCATAGATCAGGGCTCAGCCAGCGCAGCTGCGCGACCTGACAAGCAAGACAATGGCGGCCAAGCATATGCTGCGAGGCTCGGTTGGCTGTAGCCTTCCATTCCCTGCTTGTCGAAGCAATGTGTGGAAGACGTTGATTAGCTCTGCCACAATGACCGGTCCCTCATGCGCAACGACCCGCTTCAACGAGGACAAGATCCTGGACCGTCAAGTTCTCCGGGGGCTTGGTGGTCTCCGCGACTTGTCTCTTGATCGTGTTGCACCGCACAATGCCGCACCTCGTGGCCTGCTGACACAGGCCCGATCCGGAACGAGAACTTGACCGAGCCAAGCTCTTATTACGGCATCGTTACTTGCCTATGCATCGAACGTCGACATGGGGCAAGGCAATAAACGTGCCTTCACTCCCACGTGCATGGAACCCGGTCCTCGTCACGGAGTGTTCCGGCTGCTTGTGATACTGAATAGATGATCGATATAGATATCCTAATGATTGGTTTCGTCCTGCACGGATCGAACGCTTAGGGGGAGGTCCGCGTTCAGCCAGGCCCTCGTTGACTACAATTGCCAGGCGCATGAGGCGACTGACCCGGTTTCGCATCTTAGCGCGTCGTATTGTCTTGTGCTGGGGCTCTCATTCGCGGGGTGCGGGGCGGCTGGGGTGGCCCTGACTTCGTGATTGTTTGTCAGCCGAGTCTCAAACGAGGCTATCTTGTCACTTTGCTGACTCTTGCAAAGGAACATTGTACTGGGCAAGCACGCCCAACGACATGTAGCATCCTGACTGGATACGTATCCGCCTGCAAACTGCGCCTCTCTGTATGTCAGAGTCCCAGCAGAAGCGGGCATGAACGGATGGCCAGAGGTATTGTCAAGGCCGGGGCCCATGGCGTGTAGCCTGTGAGAATGGTACGGGCGTGACTCATGACCTGCAGGGCTTTAAAGATAATTCTTCGACAGCAGCCCCCAACTCTCCCCTGTAAAAATCTGCACCCCTGAAGAGCTGTTAGCGGCTCGCTAAGCCTGGGCCAGATTTTGCAGGCCACCCGACCGCGCTTTCGCTGCCAAGGCCATCGCGGCCCTAACAGCACAGAGGAAGACCTTAGGAGAGTTCATATTCCTCTGCGAAGCCGGTCTCGACAATTGCACTTTGGCCCATAGCATTCCTTCGGAACCAAGGAGCTATTGGGCAATTGGAGGGTTCGCCCTTCAATCACGGTGACCGGTTGCGGAGGTTTTTCTCCCTGAAGGCAAGCTGCGCGACAGCCTCTGATTC